AAAAATCTTTCCCGACAACATGAGAAAACCAGTTCTAGCTACTTCTTAACAAAAGGAGAACAAGCTGGTTTATTCTGTATTACCTTAACGTCCCACAATAGACACCAGCCAAAAGCCTTCCTAGGCCTTGCAGCCCTCACAGGAAAGCTAGTGCAAGCTAACATTTCAAAACCACATTTTTCATGACACCTCCCTTAATAAGAAGTAATTAAAAAAAACCTGCTAGAAGAAAGGAAATAGAAAGGAAAAGCTAAGGTTCCACCTTTATTGGTATCAGACTTCTAACAGATCATAGCTTTGGCTGTCAAAACCAAATTTCTAGGCATTTTTTTATTTCTTCTGAACTTGTTCCTCATTCTTCTTTTTCTGAACTTCTGCCAACTTGTGCTGCTTGAGTTGCTTTTAATGGTTTTTTTGCCAAATGTTTAGAAGTGGAATTTCAAAAGCTGTAAAGGGGGTTTCGCGCTTCTCCCATCAAAGGCAAGGGCAACTTTTCTGTTGGTTTCCCAGATTGCACAAGGCTTACATAGAAAATGCAAGAGCTGAGACATTCTTCATGATTCTCTTTAGTCTCCAGTTCCCAGTTCCTCCCCTCCTTCGTCACCCAAATCCATCTCTCAAAAATTTTCAGAACTGCATGATGACCCTTTGTCTGTCCCACAGATTTCTCTGGGATGGGGGATTACGGACCTGGATGGACCCTGGTCTCAGCACTTCAGTTCAGCTATGGAAGTGCATCCTAGCTGAGGTCACTGCTCACAGTACACCAATGTAAGGTCCCCCTTTCCCATCACATGATCAGACCACGATTTCTTCCATGCTACATGCCCAGTGAATGTACCTTGAACATTCTGATTGCTGCTGAGCAAAAATAAATTTCAAATTTAATTCACAAATTAAGGTATTTCTAAATTATTTTATTCCCTTCATCCTTATTCAGCAGAAACCCCATCACACACATTCTTTGTGATGATTTTTGTTCTTAGGACTATCACTGAAGAAACACAGAAAGGAAGATTTCCTTTTTACCTTGCTTACTCCAAGGAAAAATAAACATCAGTGTTTATAAAGGCTGAAACCAAGCCCAGATCTTATTGTAGGAATATAAAATTTGGGATAACAGTGAACGAATAATAAACTGCTCTAAACTATGTTTTTCTACAACTTCACCAGCTGACTGATTGAGAAAATCAGTCCTGTAGTCTTTTGCAGGTATGAAACCATAAACAGGTTCATTTCAGTTCCTCTTAAAGAAGAAATGAGTAAAAATGATGAAAAAAAATATTACAGTTCGGCTTTGGAAATATTTAGACTATTATTTAAACTATTTAATTTTAAATATGTTGAAAAAGTGGGATCACCTGAAAATGCAACTCCCTCTCTTCTTTCCCAAACAACACGTAGACAGACCAGTTATATTTTAAAGAAGACTTGCTAATGATACAATGATACCTAAATAGCCATAGATGCTGTAATATAAGTGGATACACCTTGTGATGTTCAGTAATTTTCCTGTCATATGCTGAAGCAGTGCCAACAAGATGGGGAATGAACAACAGAAAAGCAACAGTAATTTTGTGCTGCCTGGGAAATGTGGCAGTGGACAGCCTGGACTATCGTTTTTGTTCATTTCATAACTTCCTTTTCTCTTTGGGTTATTTACTGTGCTGACTGACTACCAAAAATGAAAGAAAGAAAAAAAAGAAAAACGACCCAAACCTTGCATAACGCACAAATATGGATCAAATTAATTGACTAATTTTGATTTGTTTCATGGTAGTGGTAGAAGTAGTTTTTCCTTCTTTTTACTTAGTGCTTATGGTACTCATCTGAGATGTGGCTGACAGAAGTTAAAATCCTTCCTTTACCAGAAGGATCTGACTCTACCTCTTCCAGAAACCAAAATCACCACCAGACTGCAGAGTTTCAGAGGGGAAAGTGAAGATGAATAGTGCTTTCTGTCTCTTTCTTATTTGCTTTTCACTTTGTTTACATATTTCCTAGAAATATGTAAACCTGCAAAAACCTACAAATTAGGCTTCTGTGTCTCAGGCAAACATCTTAATCTCATAAGACCAAAGAGAAATTCTCTCTGTGCCTTCTAACCAAGTGCATATTATAAACTTGGGACAAACTAGGAATTTACTAAGACATAGTGAGTAGACACTTTCTTCCCCCTGCTTGCCTTAGAGAAGTAACTTTGGGCTTAGGGCATTTTTTCCTATAGTGCAAGATATAGATTCATATTCTGTCACCAGCATAAGTAAGTTAATTTTTTTTGTGTCACAAATTAATTCCTTTGTCCCTTCCCACTTTCCACAGTTTCGTGAAAATACCCCAACACAGGACTGCAGGATAGTCTTTTGTTTTTCTCAGACATGCTTCAAAATGGTGCCTGAAAAATGTGTCACTTTGTTTACTGAAACCTGGTCCATGAGTGCTTTACTTCATGCCTGTCTGCCTTGACTGCAATGACTTCCACCCTTTCTGTGTGTAGGTTGAGCTCCACCAACAGTGGTTACCTCAGGTAACCCTTGAGTACATTAAAGCATGGGTTCTTTTGCAACCAGTCCACTTCAAAGCCAATCAAACTATGCTTCAGCAAGCCTTTAAGATAGATACATGCACTTAAAATGGATAATTGTGTTTAAGTTATGCCATAATTTGATAATTAAAATATATGACAATGAGCCAAATTAACATAAACAAGACTCAAATTGTTTAGGTCCACTTGCATTATAATGCTTGGACAACCGTAAATAGATTGAGTTAAGAAGGATTTTTAAATTATTATTATTATTATATTATTATTACAAATAATTTTTATATATATTTATTATATATAATTTTATTATTATTATCTTTTTCTGAAAAGATCCAGGATTTAGTTGTTGTAGAATATGACAAGTTTATAGCTGCCAAATGCCCAGTAGAAATGCAGACAATTCAAGAAAAGCAAGGAAATTTCCAAACAAAATACATGCTACCAACATACCTACAGATTGCATATGGGATTCCTACAGGATCCTGTCTTAACCACCATGGCACATGAATGGGATATTCTTTCATTTTGTAATGTGCAGACATTTATTTAATGTCTACATTAAATAAAGCAAGCATAAAATAATCTCACTAGCAAAGTTATGTACCAAAGGGAAAAGTGAAACCACAAAAAGCAGAACTACTTGTCATATGCTTGATCTTGGGTTAAAATATAATTTTAAAGAGATGTTAGCAAAGATTTTCTATAAAATGGGGTTGTTATATATTTTCAAATATTTCTGAATGGTGCCATCCAGAATTACCAAAAAATTGAGATCATGTCTAAGGTGAAGTCACTATAAGGGTTCCATAATAATGACACTTCAGTAGTCTTAGTCACTCATCGACAAAACACAACAAACCAGCAACTCTTATAAAAAAACTAATCACTTATACATTTCATGGTAAGGGCTTAGAAAGGAAAAGAAAAAATTACGAGAGCTAACAAGAAGTCCTTGATCAAAGACCTTAGGAACCACCCATCTAGAAAACTATATAGATTTAAAAAGTAGGAATTCCATCCCGGATTTTTGAGGCATATTGAAGTATTCTAAAGAAAGTATATTTTATGATCTGTACTCTTTAAATAGTAGAGGAACATCATCATCTCGCGTTTCTTTTCAGAAAGGCATAGTATTATGTAGTTATGAAGCATGGATTTCTCTCTTACATCTTCTGCATAGGCAAAAATATCAGAAGAGATCAAAAAGAAGGGTGGGGACATAGCAGTGGAGAAAGAAAGAAGTCTAAGTGCTGAAAACTTGTAATGGACTGAGAAGACAGACGGGAAAGTCTGGGAGCTGTGGTACTCCTCCCTTCCAGACTCATCCATCAGGCAAAGTGGATACATAAGGACATTCACACAACTCAGAGGAGAGAACACCTGAAGCTTAGTGGGCTTTAGGGCCCTAAAGATAAAATTTGAGGTAAATGGTAAAAACCTTCTGTAGAGAATACTGTTGCAGAAAGCTCAACAGGAAACCCTGAGACAGGTTTGAGTATGACAGGAGTGGAATGACAATACACTAAGGACCTAAAGTTTTAACATTTAAAGAATTCTATTTATAGGTCTCTGTAAACTAATCAATTTACTCAGAAAATCCTTATGAAATCAAGTCTACAAGCATCGTTATTCTTATTTTATAGAGAGGAAGTCAGCAGAGGCAAGCTGAGCAATCTTCTCAAAGGCAGTGAGCTACTGTCAGAAAGAGTGTTCTTAATCAGTAATAATAAAAATGTGAGCTCCAGGGCTTCTTCACAAGAAACGTCTTAGAAATCTGAGGCTGAAAAAGTCTTGATATAAGCAGTTACAAAAGGGGAAGTACAGAAATAGTCCAAGGGAAAAGCAACATACACAAATTGAAGAGCAAATAACTGCCCAGCAAGGAGCTTAAAGAGCATACTTGTTGCAAGATTTCAACTATTTTATCTAAGATACTGGCAATTTTAACCTACATGAAACGCTGTCTGAAATAATTATTCTGATTTCACAGTAATAATATAGAAGAGGGAAGAAAAAAGAAGGGGAGGGAAGCCAAAAAGTGAACTAGCTGAGCAGGAAAGAGAAAAGAGTATTGCCTGGCTCTTGGTTCTGAGTTCATCCTCGTGACCACACTGTAGTTTGGAAAAATTCCAAACCCTGAGAAGTGGAATCAGAACAGGTAGGTTGAAACATTAGGAATGCTTAGCAACTCCTTTGTATTTTAACCTCGTCCTTACACTCCAAAAGAGAAAAATATCAGAGAAAGAAAGGAACTGAATTATGATTTAAGAAGAATGTAAACAGTAATTTGAAAACAAAGGGCAATGCAATTTGTTGCGTAGTCACACAACATTCCTCTTGCATTTGAAATGCACCAGCGGCAGTTCCACCCCTTTTGAAAGTACAGCCTGACATCTCAGCTGTTCAGCCTGAGCAGCTGCTGGAGCTACAAAGCCTTTTTTCCTCCTCTGCCAGGATGGGTGTGATGATACAGGTTCCCAACCTGTCCAGGATCCTGTGTTTTTCTTTTCATCTTATCCTCATTCTGCTTCAACAGACTACTGCAGAACGAGAATTGAAGTTTGTGGTTGTAGTAAGTAGTTTTGTTCTCTATTTTGTTGTGGGGAATACAGGGAATTTTACATGTCTGTCGAATCAGACAAGGTGGGTAGCTGCTATGCCTATCTTCTAACTTAAAAATAACTACTACTGCCCTTTTGCTTACTGAGTTTAAAGACCTTAACTAAAGATGGATAAAAATGCCTCTAGTTATAAAAATTTTCATCTCCTAACCTCCAGTTATTATTTCAAGATATCTGAACAAGTTAGCTTTGTGGTAGATGCCTAGTGAATAGGAGTTAAGAGATGCAAAGTCTATGTTTGCCTACTCTTCCTTAATTTAGCTAACATTCCAATTCATAATCCAAGAGCTGGTGATTATGGCCTACCTATTCTGTGCTTGGAAGCTGAACCTTATGATGTTATAGAAATTACCATTAAAAAAAAGTATTTTCCATTTCACAACAACTGAATTGTCACAGCAGTATACTGAGAAACAGAAATAGGCATTTTTATGTAGAGATTCGAGACACATGTTGCATTAACTGCAATTAGGCTGAAAACTGACTGTAATAATTTTTTTGCTGGGCCATTTCTTATTTTAAAGTAACTAGACAATACTTCAATGTCCCTTTCCCCAATACCTCAGGAAGAAGAGAGATTAATACAATGTAATACTTTGGATTATGAAGGTTGAACCATAGTCCTTTTCATAGTTTTTTCTTTTTTTCTTTTTTTTTTTTTTTAATAAGAGGTACATTGAAAAAGAATAGTTATATAGAATAGTCTAAAGTGATATTTTCTATACAAAGTTGAGGGGATTGGAATTTGCATTTATAAATAGGAAATTGAAGATCTTCTCCTTCCACCTTTCTCTATTTGAGACATTATGTGTACGTACAGGTAACAGGCAGAAGTGCTGTGTCCAAAACATATCATCTGGCTCTAGATAAAGTATTTCATGTCTTGTTATCTATTGGCTGCACTGTAGATGCATAACTTGGAGGGAGGCCAGAGTGCACAGGAAAAACCAGTCCTACTCCTGCTGACACAGAAGGGACTCAACGTTAATTCCAGTAACATTCTGTATATAGCAATATATTTAAATGTTGTTTCAATGATAACAAGGAGAACTGGACACACAGATGAAAACAGGCAGACAGTAAGCCTTGGAGAATTAACTTCTTGAAGGGAAAGAGACTTCTATTGAATTGCAGCTGTTACTGTGTTCTAACGAGGAATGGTTTTGCAGAAAAACTTACAGGAAATGTTCACCATTATGGAGATAGAGGCTTCCTTTCCAAGATCATCTGCTTACCATAACTATGAAGCCACTTACCAAAACACCTATTTATTTCTAGGGTAGCTTATCACAATTAATAATAAAATAGTAGGTAAATTTCATTTAAACTGTCTTCCTTTTATCCCTGATACATTTGCTTAGGCTGACCAATCACCTAAAAAGTTACAATAGGCTGAATCTTATCACAAAGTGCATCTTTTTTCTCAAAGCATGGCTTATGTGTGCTCAATTGAATTTTGCCTTCTGAACTCACTGAATTTTCATGGGAGCAGAATTGCTAGCATAAATAAATAGGATAGGAATTGGCCCAGAACATATCGCTTGTATAATGGGATATAACGAGGGTATGGCTACCGTCAAGGTAAGTCTAAAAGGCATCTTTCTGAGATAATTCAATAGCCATTCTCCAGCTGTACTCTGTGAGTCACTATGTTTTCACCAGACAGTATTACTGCACTGTGAAAATCGTCATAATGACTTTTTAAAACTTTCTTAGGAGAGCTGTACAATATAAAATACATCTGCATGGGAGAAAAAAAACAGATAAATGTGCCTTTTTGCTCACTTGTAGAATTGAGCTGTGCCTGGGAGGATGTCTCACTCTCTCCTCACAATTTCCAACTTTATGCTGATTCTGTGCATTTTGTTTATTGGCCACAAGTCCTTTTGTCTGAAAAGCTCTAATTCAAGCCAATTTATCAAAATGCTTTTTAAATTTTCTTTCTCACATGTAATCATTAGCCTTCACCATAATTCTTGTGAACTGAATTTAAACCAGACAGAAGAAAATAGGAAATATGTAGGACAATCAAGTACCCAAGTAGAAACAAAATACTGTTTTATTGCCTCTGCATAAAGAAGTCCTGACTTGTAACTTCTGTCTCCACACACGCACTCATTTCACCTGTCATGCATGCAAAGAGGTGTGGCTTCTGAGGTACTGTGATTTCATCTTTCTTCTTGTAAGTCAGGATAGAAAGTGTTTACTGAGCATCTTATCTCTGAGCATGATTTGTCTAATCAAGCCAAGCCATTTGAAACCTTGACTAAACATGCTCAGTAGTTCTGCATCTACCATTTCCCTGAACTGACAGCATGATATTTCCACTCTCGTTTCTTCATTCCTACTGCTGGCTTCAAAGTAAGAAATCTTTTTGTTTGAAGCTGAGTCTGTCAATAAAATTGTCTGTAAGAAGCTCACTATTACTCAGAGACAGACAATTCACTGCAATTCATGGCATTTCTGAATGAATATGTTATGTATACTATACATGCCATATTCTCAGCTCACCCTCTCCTCTGCAACAGTTTTTCTCCAACATGATTTTTCACCTGGCAACAATGGAAGCAAATGCTGGCCAAAGTCTCAGTCATGTGACCATTTTGATCTGATGTGATCACCCTCCTAAAGTTGCAAAGACTGACTGGGTGAACCCAGACACCAAATCAGGTTCAAGCAGTATCAGAGTTGAAAGAGAGGTATTGGATAACTGTGCACCTATTGCTTTTGAGAACTGAGGTAAAGTGCTTCAGAAAGGACTGCTGAAATGAATATCCCAAACAGGTCTGCTTGTGTATTTTCTCCTTGTGTATATTCTTGTGCATATTTTTGTGTATATTCTCCTTGCCCTCCCTTCCTTCTTGATTTCTAATGTCTTTTCACCTTTTATGATGCCTCCTTTCTCCTTTTCCCTCATTCTGCCATGTTCTGTGCCTTCTGAAAGGTCAGGAATGTAATCTGGAGGCTGGGAGTAATAAATGCTGCAGCACACCTATTTTTAGATTAATTTAAAGCATCAACTCCTTTTTAACAAAGCTGAAATTGTAAGTGTTGAGAAGTACATATTGATGAGCAAGACAAGATTTGTAGGGATGCACTTTTTTTTCCTAACACTATCAGGTCTTCTAATGAAAAACATAAACTTCCAATATACAAGCTCCTATTAGAGTTTTAAATTTAAAAAAAAAAGTCTCCTAAAAGGTAGCAATGAGTGAACAAGTTAGTCTTTTAGGTTAAGTGTTTGTTCATAAGGTCATTGTCTCATTTGCAACTGCAGCTGAAGCAAGGTCATTTTCAAAAGTAGCAAGCAAGAAGGAGGTTTGAGCACAAAAAAAAATCAGTAGCCTGAGAAGTTTCATCCTTCAATTCCTAAAAAACAGGCTTTTGCTCTTAGAAGTATTTGTTTCTCCCTTGATACTTCCAACTCAGTGTTCATGTCATATTCATATGTCACTGTGAAATTAAGGTGAAGAAATATAAACAAAGAACTGAACTCATTCCTATTTTATGTGAACTAAAAGAAGCTGTGCTGCTTTTTGGAAGAGCGGACCCTCCACTGCTTCAATTTCCTAAGGTTACAAAGAAAGAAAATAATTTTCATTACATCTCCTGCTCCCCAATATATTTGAATATCTTTTGATCTTGATCCCTTTTGCATGCTAGTCTCTGTTCAGGTAAAATGCTTCTCTGTTCTGGCTTATTGAAAGTTTTTAGGGGTTGACTGTTGTGAAGTAAAATACACGCTGAGGGTTATGTCACACATGAAGTATAAATATCACAAAGCAGTATTTAAAATCTAACACATTTTCAGTAACTTTTCACTAGTAAAAAGGGCATATTTATTGGCCAAGTGTTGATCCATTTTTAAATATTGCCTAAAAAAATAGTCATTTAACATGTCAGTCAGTTTGAGCAACTGTCAGTTACCTCTAAAAATACTTTTCCGTGAAGTTGGATAATTTAACAAGAGGATGCAGCTACATTGAAATTCGGAATTTAACCTTCATTCCTCACAGAGGCACCAGCTTGTCCAGAGAAACTAATGAATCCTATCTTACACCAATGTATATCAGCATGTCAAAACACCAAGGAAATAATCAGGACAAAAGTCTTTCTCACTTGTTTTTCTTGCATGTAATTGAATCAGTCACCAGACAATGTAGTTCTTCACTTATTCTCCTCTTCAATAGAGGTGCACCGAGAAATGGTTATAACCAATCAATTGAGATTCCAAATTAGTAAGAAGAGAGATATATAGAGAATTTAAAATTGCATGGAGAAGAAAACAAACAAACAAACAAAAAAAAAACAACCAAAAAGAAAAAAAATATTTTATGGACTATTTTCCTGTTCTTGAACTCAGAAAAAAAAAGGCGTGAGGCTTTTTACCTGAAACTATGCAATTTCATGTTGACCAACATGTTGTTGATGATAATGAAAAACACTGCTTGGTTTGCTGCAAAATATTCATTTCAGGTTCAGCAAACTTTGCTGTCTACTGTAGAAAACGAACAGAGGGAGAAATCCTATTATATTTGCCTTTAATGGACAGTATTTTCCATCTTTGAAGTACCTGCTCTGGCACAGGTTTGTGCGCTTCAGTACAGAAGGCTGACGGAAAGGGGGTATGCTGTAATTAAAACATTAAGCCACACTGCTGGTGTTTACTTTGAAAAATATAAACATGAAACACCTCCCAGTGGGAGTGGCAAACTAACTAGCCCATACAACCGTCTCTGATGTTTGGGCAAGAATGATGTGGCTTAATGAGGCAGCGGAGAGTAATAATTATGAAAAAGTTATATACCACTGAGGTACTAGGGAATAAATGTCCTTTTGTGAACAAATATATCATGATTCTACATTGTCATTTTATTCTGCTAAGTCGGGAATGAGTTTGGTTATGGGAACATTGACAAGCAAAGGTAACTTTTGCAATAGTTGGGTCAGCATTCTGGAAGGTTGTCTGGAGCCCTATGAATGTGTATTCCAGCATTTCCTTTCAGATTTCCTGTCTAGATACCTAGCTATGAATGTAATCCCAGCACTAACATCTTTGGTGATTAATTTTATGTTCTAGGAGGAAGAATCATCGGGTTTATGCCCACTTAATTTCTATATAATTATACATATTTTTGAATGTAAAGAACGTACTCCAATCCTACTTGACTAGGTTTCTGCAGACTCCCTAATATTTTCATTTGAAAAACGGTACTGGAAGTATAATATATGCTTGACTTCTAGTTAGATAAGAAAGGAATGTTAATAGCATTAAACTAAGGGTTTTTTTATTGGTAATACTGTTAGGTTTTCCGACATGGTGACCGAACACCAATTGTAAACTTTCCAACTGATCTACACAAAGAAAGCGAATGGCCCCAGGGATTTGGACAACTCACCAAGGTATGTCGGCTTTCTTAGAAGAATTTATATATGCTAATAAAATAGGAAGTGGGAAGATTTTTTTTATGTGTGTCTCAAAAACATTAGCAAATCCCAAGTGCTGATAGTTGGTATTAGCGATACCCCATAATTCATAAACATTTTTGCAATGTTATTCATCCAGCTACTGTTAAACTGAAATCTTGTTCATCATAGCTTTACAACTACCTTCCTAAAAGCAAGAGCTTTTTGACAGTGTGCCTGCATTCAAGTTAATGACAAGTTTAACTGCCATTTAATGTTGTACTCTCAACACTGATGAAGTTCTAGTGACCATTAAGCACCAGGTCCTATGAGAGGGTAAGAGAATGACACCAGCGCACCAGGTCAAGTGATGAGTCCACATCTCAGCATTGGACTGAAAACCACCATCTCACAAAATAAGGGAAGACTTGTAGGACCTAAGGTTGCTTCTGGGGACAGTATATCTTCTAACAAGGCTTCTTGCAGTCCAGAGTTTCACTAGGATGCACTGAACCTACTTCTTGCTCTGGCATTTCAACATCAAGCCTTAGCTCTTTAACTGTACTTGACATATGAAGTTCTGGAGCAAAGAGAGGCCAATGCATTTCCTAATAACACTTTGTCATGATGCAGAAGCATGAAACAGAGACAGGTCAGCATTTAATGTTTGAAGGCAGACTTGAAAGATTTGTAAAATTAAGACACTCAGCACATTACTATCCTCAGGTACATAGCTTATGTAGTAAGAGGAAATAAGTTTCTGCTTGGCATAGACTTTTTTCAGAGATTTTTGGTATTTTATTTCCTTTTTATTAACAGTAGAAAGAATGTACTTCTCTGACAGCTAAAAATTAAAAAGTTCATCTCAGGTTTTAGAAATGAATAACAGAAAAGACAGTGTGCAATCTAAGACAACTGCAGGCACACCAAGATAAAGAAGGAAGAACGTTCCTTCAAGCATGAAGTGTAAGCCACAAATTTATCAGGTTGATCAAACATCAGAGCAATGACAATGATGAATACTAGGTTGTCAGTCATCCTCTCTCAGCTGTCACTAAGTGACACACATTATCACTCAGCATCTACAGACTTACAGCACTGTGGAAATTGTATTTGTATAGAATCAGGAGCAGCACCTTTCTGTAGCAGATGCTGCAGTCTTAGCAGTTCAGAACACATAATTTTTTCACAGATATAAATGAGTATTTCTGTTAAAAATGCTAGATCATCTACAACATACACAGTTGTGCTGGTTTTGCCTGAAGAGAGTTAATTTTCCTCACAGTAGCTAGTATGGGGCTCTGTTTCGGATTTGTGCTGAAAACAGTGCTGATAACACAGGGATGTTTTTGTTAGTGCTGAGCAGGGCTTACACAGAGTGAAAGCCTTTTCTGCTTGTACCACCCTGACAGTGAGTTTGGCTGGGGGTGCACAAGAAGTTGGGAGGGTACAGAGACAGGACAGCTGCCCCCCCTGACCAAAGGGATATTCCGTACCATATGGTGCCATGCTCAGCATATAAAGCTGGGGGAAGAAGAAGGAGTAAACATTCAGTCTTATGGTGTTTGTCTTCCCAAGTCACTTTCCTGGAGGCTGAAGAGCTGTCTGTCCACGGCAAGTGGTCAATAAATTCCTTGTTTTGCTTTGCTTGCATGTGTGGCTTTTGCTTTGCATGTAAAACATCTTTACTTCAACCCTTGTGTTTTCTTACTTTTACTCACCTGATTCTCTCCCTTATTTCACCACGGGGGAGTGAATGAGCAGCTGACTGGTGCTTAGTTGCCAGCTGGGGTTAAACCACAGCAACCGTACATTATACATTTAATGATTACTTAAAAACTGAAGGCGTACACACACATAAAAAAGAAAACAGAAAAGAAACTTCTACATTAAGATTCTCCAGTCACCTTAATCTAATAGTCACCTGTATGCTTGCCTCGCAGACTGGAATGCAGCAGCTGTTTGAACTTGGACAGTACATGCGGAAACGATATTCCACCTTCTTGAACAGCACATACAACCGGCAAGAGGTATATAGCAGAACTGTCTGGAGCACATTTCTCTGGCATAGCAGAACTATGGATTTATAAAAGCACATCATCATACTCATTTTATTAATGGAAAAATTAAGGTAATAGAAGAACATTTTTGGAAGTCAGACTTTTATGTCAAGGTTTAAACACAGACTAAAATCTAACTTTCAGCTCCTACATTTAGTTTGGGTCTCTCACAGCCAAATTTTCCTGAACTGAACAGCTCCACACCACCAAACGAACTGGGAATTTATACAGTGACTCCAAATTGTTCTACCCTGTTGAAAAATGAATGCCTATTCAGTCATGCAATGGGCCATGCTCACATACTTCATCCTGTAAAACAGAGGTCTAACAGTTCTTTGGATGTGCCTATCATACAGTACAGATCCATTGCGGGGAAGATACCACTACCATTTTGGTCTATATATAAGGGAAGCATTGATGGGAAGGTATGAAAGACTATAACTTTGCCAAGCTTCCAAGAGAAGTTTATGATTTTAAGTGCCTTAACATTCCTGAGGTATAGCTGATAGATTATAGAATCACTTAGGTGGGAAAAGACCTTTATGATTATCAAGTCCAATTGTTAACCTAACACTGCTAAGTTCACCACTAAACTATGTCCCTGAGCACCATGTCCATATGTATCAATGTTCTTCTGAATATCAAAAGATGGAGAGCTTCCTTCTTTTAAATCATGCTTTCTTATTCTCTCAGTTCAATCTGAGGGTTAGATTCCAAATTAAAAGATGCCTTGGTGATTCCATTTATGAAACTGAAGTAAGGCTCCAGAAAGCTGAGTTATGGTTTCACTGTTTTGACTGTATGCAAAAACATAACACTGAAAACAAGAAGCCAGGATTCATGAGTTGGGTAAAATTTCCCTATTATTTTTATAGCTTCTATTTTATCTTTAACTCTTTGCCATTCTATCTTCAGTTTTACATCCAAAGTACAGATTATGATCGCACCATTATGAGTGCCCAGTCGTACCTTTCTGGCCTCTTTCCACCAACTAGCAGCCAAATTTGGAACCCTGAGCTTCTCTGGCAACCCATTCCAGTTCATATTTTTCAAAAATCAACAGAGCGGGTGAGTACTGGCTAGATGCTTCCTATAATGTCTTAAACTTTCACAGAAGCAAAAAAGAGAAAAAATGGAAATAGCAAAAAATATTTTCTATGCTTTTTCAGTTCAATCTAGTAGAAAATATCAAATGCAGCTACTGGCTGACAAGTATATCATAGGTCAATTGTAATAGCTACATGAAAATCCTCCTTCTGTAGTTGCAGAATACCTCAATTATCATACACACTACCATTTTCTTCAAAGCACATTTCTCTTGACCAGAACACTTTCGGACAGTATGCTAGGGAAGATGCCCTAAACCTTTCCAGGAAACAAATGCTTTTCTAAGCACCGATCCTCTCTTTGGCAAGTTTGTTTCATAGTTTATTCAAGGAATTGAATTTTATCCAGCCACTGTAATGACCTCACAATTATACCTTCCTATTCTAGCAGCACTTAGGCACTCTAATTAAAGAGAAGGGTCCTTTTATGCTCAGTACTATAGAAACGTTTAATGAAATCCTAGCACTTCTTTTGCATATCATAAGAGCAGATCCACCTGAATAATAGGTCCTATAGAAGTTTTACTTTACATAGCTCTCTCTGGCTGACTCATGTTTACATTTTAATTTCACTTGTTCTTGTGACAAGGACTGTGTAAGGAACAGTGTGTCCAACAAGGATGAAAAGCTATTGAACGTAATGACAGAAAGCCTAATTTTCTTCTGCCTTTGAGGACAGAATTTGACTTTAAGGAAATTTATACAAATCCCCTATTAAATAACTGCCTGTCACCAACATCAGAGAATAGACTCTGTCATCAGGAGGTGGCCACACCTGACTCCCTTTGGTATTCTTCCATTCTTTGAGACCATGCTTGAAAGCAGGTGCAGAGTGAAAGGGTTTCCACAAACTGGATTAGGCACAATGTGATTCAGCTAGAAATTTAGCCCTGTTCCTCAACAGAAAAGAATGCTGTCACTGCCATTTAAATGCGGGACACCAGTGGAAGTTCTTTCACCAGAAGACCAGAAAAGCATCAAAGTGGTCAGGGCTTTGCCCAAACAACACCTCAAAGCCCTTAGGGGAATCACAATGCAATGTAATGACCCGTTTGAAGAAGGCAAGCTCATTTGTAGGAGTCTAGTACCTCATTGTTTGTTCAGCTCCTCCAAGTGGGTATTGATGTTTCACTGAATCACACCTCTGCAGCAACTCAAAATTCCTGTTATATATGCAAATCACCTGGAAAAAACATTGTTCCCTTGTTAAACCAAGCAGATGTTTGAAGGCATTTTCAAGCCCCAAGCAACACAAAGTGGGAAATTGAGGCCAAGTACAGTCTTGTAAAAAAAGGTAATCACAGTTTATTTTTAACCCACTGAGATCTATCAAGACTTGACAGGCAACAGTACTGAGTAATGCTTAATGAAGTCAAAGGGAGTGGCTTAATTAATAACACCTAGAGAGGGATAATTAAGCCATGCCGCAAGAGAAACATTTGTTATTGTGTAATTAAACAACATTCCCCAGATTCATATTGCAACTTTGAGCCTTCATCCTCTAGTGTGCTGGTGTTACAGAAAAATTGTACTCTTGGAAATATGCCCAAGTGAAAATGGGCTAGAGTCGGTGGCTACTGCAAACTTCACGTTGATTAACCAAAGAGAAAAGAGATGTGCAGTCTGTTAATGTTCACCCCAAGACAGAGTAAACACTCTTGCACATACATAAGCCATAGATATAGAAGTTATTTTCTCCACTGTATATTAAGTCAGTTCCTTGACATGATTTGTATGGTTATAGGCTAATATTAGTGCTGGGTCAAAAATGCTCTAATGATGTGACAAGAATGCAAGTATTTACACATGGTTCAAATCAAATATGTACTATTAGGTAACCCTGTAATGCATACACTTGGAGTTATTAAAAGTGAACCGTATCCCTAAATAAGAATAGAGCCATTAGGCTCATAGCTTTTTGAGATTTCAGGAGTACAATTTATTTGCCACCCTTGTTTGGAGTTCTGTCCACTAAGTGGTACTTAAAATGCTTACCATGATCCACTTATCTCCAGAGATGAGAGCAGATGTGTAGATGCAAAAGCAGTTCAGGTTCCAGGACCAGGTGGAGTCAAGTTGCATCTGGGGGGATTCAGAAATTAAGGAGGAAATGGTAGCCTAATCATGCACCCTGATCCAATCTCTTGCTAGACACACATAATTGCTTTTTGCCAAAATAAGCTCAACTGACGGAAATCAAGCTATCCAAAGAAGTAGCCACTGAAAAGCCAAACTACCACAGTCCATTGCCTATGTTAACCAACTTCATGAATAAGGTAGCCAAGCAAACAATTAAGGAGTAACTGTTGCACAGCCATGGATCTGTCTAACAAATATTACATCACCAATCTCAGCAACAGAAAAAAAACAGAGGGGTGTTGATAATTTTAGAACTATTCTAACTTTTACTTTTCTGGTTTCAGAGGCTGAACTTTCCTCTGCCTGACTGTCCCCTTTTTGATAAACTTCAGAATGAAACACAAACATCCAGTGAATTTCAAAATAGAATACAACCATACATGGTAAGACAAAATAAAAAGAAAATAAGAAGGAAATAAAAAGTAAATGAGAAGAAGGAAAGTAAATAAGATTCAGAAATTATGGAATTGCATTGTTTCCTTTTGCTAAAATGCAAAAATATATTAAAAAAAATTAAAATCCCGAGGACTCTTACAATCAGAAATTTAGGCCAATAGGATCAAAAAGTATGTTTGATACGTTATATATTTCTCCCACTTTTCTACATTAATCTTTTAAAATGTGAATTTAATATTAATTTTCTGAGACTACTTAGAATTCAATTATCTGTAAGGAAGAGAAATTTCTGGATGCAGCAATTTCTAATTTTACAGGGTAGCACAAAACTAATTCTAAAACATCTGAGAAATCTGAAACTTGGAAAGGTTTATGCTTTCCTGCTCTGACTTTCTGAAGTTGGCACTACAGCAGAGAACTAAAGCAAGCCTAACCAGGAGAACACTCTGACTTATGTAAATTTCTCTGCATGCATTTTGGATCCATCGCAAAAGATTCTTCTGTTTTGGCCCTGACACAAATCTTCACAGTCAGGGATTCAAAGTTTTCCATTCCAGTGCTGCAGCAGGATATAGGTACATGGATGGTATACTTGCCTCAAGCAACCATGTTCATGTGGATAATAATTGCTCTAGATCGTGGTTACTGCTGCTCCCTTGTTTGCCTACCATTGCACTTTCTAATGGTATGACTGCACAAAGAAAGCAGGGGTCTCAGGTCTTCATACCCTGACTACACTCGAAGTCACTTCAGGCTTACTGCTTGGGCTAAACCCAGTATTTTTCTTTATTTGGTTTATTTCTAACTTTCCCCTAGCTCAGCTACTCTGGTCAGCCTTGCTCATCTACTCTGGTCAGCCTCACTCACCTGCAATGGGTGGTGAACTATGACTTCATAACTATCCTCTATCTCAGCTAACAGTATGAACGGGTAACATGGGAATAAGGGATATTAAGGTATCCCTTTATTCTTCTGTGGTAGCACACAAAAAGAATCCCTATGGGAATTGTTGTCGATATTCAGAACTATTAGATATTCAACTCCCCTTCAATGGCAGAATTAAAACCTACTTTCCTTTCCAGTTTCTTTTTGTATCTCTTCATTTTTGTATTTTCTCCTCATCTTTTTTCTCATGTTCCTTTTCCCTTAGTACCTTCCTCTTCCTTATATCTGAAGGCTTGAGGTGACTGAGGTAGCTTCTTGGAGCAGTCAGAAGAGGGAGAGAAGAGTGTGACAGAGTGGAGGGAAGAGTGTGACACCAAACTTATCCATAGCAGAGACAAGAAAAACAGCGTCTGAAACAGAGACCAGTACCTTGAGAAGTTACAAAATGAAAATTGTAACCAGAATCTTCTGCTACAGGGGTTTCACTTGTGAAAAACTAAATATTATTGTGATGCCAGGCGTTAATGGATCTATATGCATATATGTTCCATATGTATTGAATATTTGTTGTATACTCTTCATTCTTCCCCCCAGGATTTTATACAAACAATGGCTGTTAACACAGGACTTGAACTAAACAATCTTAAAATACTGGACAATTTCCAGCTCTGGAATACATATGATACTCTACATTGTGAGGTAATAATAAGTCAATAAATGCTGGGGAAGAATATAACTTTAATGTTGGGTTTTAATTACACTATGACAAAGTGTTTTCACAGGAATGAGTTGCCTTCTCTTCTGGATCTGCTTTTTTGTTTTTGTTTTTATATATATATTTGAATATAAGCTATAATTTAGTACTTTGGTATCAGATAACCCAAAAACATGGTTTACAGCTTGGGAAACTGTTCTTTCCATTTCATGTTTTATCCTGAAGAACAGATACCAAAATTCATTCCCATTATTCCCTTTTTTCCTTCCCAATATCATGCAAGAGAATTATTTGAGCATGCTGCCTATGATATATTTGTGATTTTTAACAGAGAAATGAAATTATCACCCTTAACCTATCAACAGGAAAACATAAAAAACTTAGATTTTGAACATGAGAGATAAGATCAAGATCTATCAGTTGAAAATTTTTGAGGTGATGATTGCTACCAGTGAAAAAAATCAGACTGATCATAAGAATGGATTCCATTCAGCCCCAGTCATTACCAGCAGCACATGAAGCCTTTTGAACACATCCTCCACACATTGAGGCTATTAAACGAAATAAGACACTGTCACTCTTACCTGACTGAAGAGTGACACTTGTCTGTAATTGGTCAGTGACAGAACTGGTATCTGGACAACTGTATGGAAAGGCAGAAAAAATTAGAGATGTATAACCTGAAGACCCAGAGGAAAGGAAGAGGACAAGATATACGCCCGCGATATTTCCCACCAAAAACATATATCTCTGTAGCAAGAAGACATTATACCTACAAAGAATATCCTTCACACAGGTGCTTCTGTTTTTCCTATACACCCACTTCAGGTTGATCTCCATCCCCACAAAGTGCGTTTCAGCGCATGCTGGGGAGTAAAACCACACTGGGCAAAGAATTGCAGGACAGCCTCAGAGAGTCTAAACTTAGCAGTGTGAGCCTAGGCAACAGGATGATGGAAACCAGTGAATTATAAACATTATTTTGTTTTCCTTTATCACTAGGGTATTCACAATTACACTCTCCCTGTATGGGCCACCAAAGATGTAATTGACAAGATGGAAAAACTGGCAGAATTGTCCTTATTATCACTATTTGGGCTTTATAAAACAGAAGAGAAATCACGACTACAAGGAGGTAAATAAAAAAATGCATAGTTCTCAGAAAGGAGGAGACAATGCTTATAATAAAAGGCAACATCCTGTCACTCATGCAAAATTATTCACACAGAACCTTCATTTGAAACTATGGAGATTGGATGCCATATTAAGCATTAAAATATGTGCTGAACACTGGCACTTACATGGATGAGATATTGCAACAAGTTGTAAAAACTTCTCTCTTTTGTTATTCCAGATTTTTTAAGGGATTAGAATCTTAAGAAATACTATAGAAATATAAAGGAAAAAAATCAGGCCCTCATGGGTAAAACCATTAGTCATCTTATAGTAGGTTAGATTAAGTTCTGCTTCTCCAACATTTATTCTAATTGTTTCCAGTTCTTTGTTTTTTCCTTTGATGTGCTGGTTATATATTGTGCCAAAACCTTGGCAACACATTGGTAGCCCTCTGAGTGACTGATATAAAGCTGCTCCAAAACAGTCTGATCAGCAGAGAAGATGAGAGATACCAGTTATGTCTATAATGCAAGAACTGCGACAACTGCATAGCTCCAAAATAGGGGTGCATAGGCTATGCATATTCTGACACTGCTTCAGGAAACAATTCAGGAATTTGTCACATGATCCCCAGGTGTCCATGAGCAGGAAATGCAAACAACAGAGCTTGAATATCTGCAGGCTGGAACATTTGGGGCTAGGCTTTCTAATACATGTACTGTGCAGTCTAGCTCTAGGTAAAGAATTATTAGCAGACTCATTGTCCAGGCATATATAGATCTCTGGGTCCAGCCATACAGTAATTACAGGCTCGAACTGGCACTAAAGCCCACTGGCAGATGACCATATAATCTGATCAGGACTATTTATCTAGTATTCACATGTATGCCAGTTATGTCCACTTTCCTTAGAATGATATAAATTGTGCTACAGGGAATTTCTGCTGCCCTTATCTCTTTGGCTTTAGAATGTCTCTGGTCCGGAGAGGGGCTACAAAAGAGCTTTGGAAAAAAATGAGAATTGATACTGTGTAACTTGTTGGAAATAAATAGTTAAAATATTTCTTCAGAATGTAGAGAGGAAGAGACTAGCACAGTTCTCATTATTGCAACACTAGAAACAGATAAAAAAGGATGGAGAGGAGATCTCAGCATAACAGAACTGGAAGTGTCATTAGCCCCAGTTCTTAGGATAGTTCTAGATGATTTTCTGTGAATCCTGTCTCTTCCCTTGACCTCGATGAAGAATCATCTATTTTACCTCTGTAATACCTTCTCTCTAGTTATGAAATTGTAGTAAGCTAAACAAATAAGTATGGGGCCTGAGTAGATGTCATATTTGAACCTCATACCCTTCCACTTTTTTTGTTTCTAAGCAAATGTTATACCTTCATTTTCCTCTTCCTATCTTTTTAAGGTGTCCTTGTGAATATTATTTTAAATAGTATTAAACAAGCTGCCAATTCTTCAAAACCAAGAAAAATGGAGGTCTACTCTGCAGTGAGTATTTTCATCTTTAATAAATCTTGCTTTGATTTTACCAGTAAAAGACCCTTAAAGAGAATAATCAGTGTTTCCCTGTAAGTTAAGTGAAAGAATAATATAATACAGTTTAATTCAGCTAATAAGCTGAACACCACTCAGTACAAGAACACAGCATAAGCACGGCTCTCATCTCAGTTTAAGTCAAACTATACTTGGCAAAGAAAACCATGCATTTTATCATTCAGTTTTCCTACGACTTAATGGTTCATTTTTCCTTAAGTGCTCTAGAGGTAGTGGCATATTGCAGAACTTCAGCTGTACCTCCAAACCTCTCCTCTGTGTTTTGTTGGGTTTTTTTTGTTTTTTTGGTTTTTTTTTTTTAAATTGTTATTATTTTATTTATTTTAGAGGGTTAAAAGAGCCACTTGGGTCAGAGCAAGATCCACTTAGCTCATTCATTACTCTGTCTTTAACAAGGGCCAAAGGCACGGATGAATGTGAAAATAATGCCAGCACAGAGTGATAAAAGGTTCCAGGCAATCTGTGGCTTAGGGACTGCCTGAGGTAGAATCTGTGTCTCTGTGTTTAATAGCTCTTGACAGACTTTCTTCTATCAACTTATATTATCACTTTTTAAATGCATTTATACTCTTGGCCTCTGCAACATCCTGTGACAATGACTTGTGTGTTAAAGTAAAAAAGTACTGATTTAGGTCCTTCCTAGCATTTATATGTTGAGAAACAAGAAAAACTCAATCTTTATTCACTTTTTCTGGGTCACTCATGAATTTAATATTTTCTGTCACACCTCTCCCATTTTTCCTTTTCTGAGACGGAGTCTTACCCTATTTAATCTTTCCTCATATAGAAACCATTTGATACCTTAAATCTTTCTTGCTGTCCTTTCTACATGATTTCTAGCAATACTACACTCTTTTTGAAAAGGAAAAAGAAATGTATCCAGATTTTGCACTTCTGCTTTAATATCTTGAGTACAAGTAGACTGTTATTTTTGAAATTGATCATTCTAAAAAGTTCCAGAACCTGAAAAATAATTAAAACATAGATGCTAGACCATAATATAAATAGGCCTAGCAGATATGTATATAAAGATGCTTACAACATTTATGCATCAAAGTGTTGGGACTTCCTTGCTTCAGCTCCTGCTCCTGCTATCCCTGCAAGAGGAGGGATAATGGGGAGAGGAAGAGACTACAGGTGGATGGCTAATTGGCTCATAAAACTAGAAGCCAACTGAGATTTTATTGTATGAATCCAAACAGAAGGAATAACAACTAAAAAAATTCTGAAGTGGAAGCAAGAACAATTTGCATGCAACTATTTGTCTGGTGCACTATCTAAAGAAAAGAACTTGTATCTTTACTTGAAATGCTGTAGAATATATTACTTTACACTGATTTCATCTGACATGGGAGCAAAAAACTCTACTGGAGGAAGGAGTAGCAAAATGCACTGAAAAATTGGATTTATTACTGAGACCACATCTTGCTTTCCCTCAGTATCTGTCTCCAAAATACTGCCAGATGGTGTAAGACACATACTGCAGTAACTCTTTGGAAATGTCTCCTGCTGTCTGTAGAACCCATGTTTTTCCCAAAGGTGAATATACTGAATACAGTTTTATGGTCAAATTTATACAGTGTTTCTTTTATCTTGATTTCCACTCCCTTTCTATTCTTGTCTAATTACTCTGCATAAATACTAGTTGACTTAACTGGCTTTCAAGGATGGATTTTTTTTCCCCCCAATAGCATGACACCACAGTTGGGGCTCTCCAGATTGCTCTCAATATTTTCAATGGAAAACTGCCACCATATGCTGCTTGCCAGTTTTTTGAACTCTACCAAGAAAGCAACGGGCAAGTATCTTCTTATCTATGCAAGAACAAGAAGTGTTTGGAATTTGTTTCCCCCTTTCCCAAAATCGTTTTCCTCTCAAATATTGTGAGGAGATACAATTTTGATTTAAACGGATACTTCAGTGAGCAGTCCATAGGCACAAAGTTATACTAAAACTAAGAAAAAACACATTTGCTGGATGTGCATGTATGTGTGTGCTTTGAAAAACAGGAAGAAGAGGAAAACAAGCCTTATCAGATAGAAGTAAATGATAAAATAAATTTTCCTGATTCTTCAAATGATAGCAAGAACATTTCCAAGACTTTTAATAAATCCCAAGGCAAACCAATTGGCTTAGAAGAACCTGGTGCTGTTGCCATTCAAGGAGCCTTCTGAAGGACATTTTCAGCTGGCTGGTGATCTGTGCAGCAATATAACCAGCTTCAGCAAAGTGGGCTTTGCAGATGTCTTTCACAAAGCCTCCATTCTTGAAGAATAGGTTCTAGAGTAGGATGTTAGAGCCTATTTCCAACATGCTGTCTCCAAATAGGAAATCTTCTATTTAAGAACATTTTTTAAAAAACTTTTCAATGTTGTTAATCAGGCGATATAGCATCGAAATGCATTATAGGAATGACACTTCAAAGGATCCTTACCTGCTCACTTTGCCAGGATGCACCTCTTCTTGTCCACTTGAGAAGTTTGCTGAACTAGTTTCTCCTGTGATAACAGAAAATTGGTCAAAAGAATGTGGGAAGAAAGACAATGTGAAAGGTAGTGTAACAGTTCTGTATTTTCCACATAAGACATGGAGGCAGAAATTGTATCAACGGTTTCAAACTTTGTACCTTTCACACAATAGACAGATTTCCCTTTAACAAATGAGGGCCAGATTCACTATGGACAAGGAAGGTCAACAGAAATTAAATTTCTCTAAAAATGTGAAGAGTAGACTTGTCCACCAGTGTGAAGGCAGTGCTATTTTGAACATACTCATGTAAGGAGCTGCCTAAAGGCCACGGTCAAAACTAGAGCTCTGCTTGTTGAAAATGTCCAAGAGAATTAGGGGTGTGGGTGTTATGTAAGGGTCCCATGTATCTTGGATGCATCAGACCTTCTATAGATGCAAAGCAAATGCACAGAGTGGTGCATCTGTATTTCTGGCACACGTACTATGCATTGAGGATAAATTAACCTCAGCTGTATGGAGTGCAGCTAATCCATGTAAATATAGTGGCTATTTGCCTCAGCCAACAGCTGAGAGCTGATAATCTCTTCCCACCCAAAAATTATTGCCTGGAAGAATGAGAAGACTTTTCCATAGTCCCAGTATTTCCTCCTTCCTCTGTATATTCATTATTTTGCTGATCCCTGATGAAATTCTTTTTTTTTTCCCTCTTACCCTGTGGAAACCTAGAATTAAGATTTGCCCATGCGCAGGAAGCTATCTATGTATTTCTAGGATTGAAGTACATGTTGCATGCGTCAGAAAATGTGATGTTGCCAGAAATACGAACAAAACATACTATATTTCCATTGTACATATTTGTAATTAGACTGTTATGTCCGCATCTAAAATGATATACATATATGTCTTTCATTAACTCACTTTTCCTTTGTTGTTTGTCCTTCACAGATGTTTTTATCGGATTTGATGTTGCTGTTGGCTTGTTGTCCATTTTTAACCTTGTACTCCTTTACCTCCTTTATCATTATGGACGCTGCAGGCGCAGAAGCAATTATCAAGACATTTAAAGGGGAGGTGAAGAAACAAAAGAGAGAGCAGCTAGACACTGAACAATACTTGAAGTTGCTGATATCCATCAGTTTGCTCTGGTCCAATTAATCTCCAAAGCATATTCAATAAATTTGAAGAGCTGAGGTATCTGTGGCCTAGCTCCTAAAATTCTAAACAACTTCAGTGAGAAATACTGTAGTAATATGTAAATGTTAAGAATTACTGGATGGATGGAATCACTTTAATTTATATCTTTAGGTTTTCTACTACTATTAGTCAATCTTATATCAATGGGTAAGGTGAAGGGATGCTATTGCCTATACTTTTTTTTTTAATATTGTCTATTACCACTTAGCCCTTCGCTGCTTAACAAGTCTTTCTTCAAAATCACAGTCTGTAATATTTTCTTTACTTCTTATAAATGAATATTTTGTTGATACACAGGAAAATGTTTTTAGTGAGCAGAAGCTGCAATCACTGTATGAAAAAGATTCATACCATCACATGGACATACTATTTCTGCATTTATTCACGCAAATCTATTAATGAGATTTGACCTTGGCCTTCGGCTAATAAAAGTCTTCAGCCTGCTTTTTAAAGGAGTTACACTACTATAGCTCTCACTGAAATAAGTAGAAACTGGAATAATCTCTGTCACACATCCAGGCATCAAGTAAAAAGCTTAGTGCAACAGCATCTTGGTCAGCGTCCACAACTTCAGTAGTACAGATAAGTAAATACATTAAAATCTATTTTCTGCCATTACACTGATTTCCTATTTTTCTGAGCTCTAAGTCATTAATGATCCTTTGCCCTGCAACTTTTCTACAATGTCTCTGTTCTCTGTCCTGCTTCAGGTCCTGTCCATAATTTTATTCTTTTGAGCCACTCTTACAATAACTCCTCAAGCTATCACACTTGTCATCATCTTTAATTTTAATCTACAATAATTTGTTTAACTCCCTGTTCTTTTTGAAATCCTGTATGTTAGCAAGACATGCACTGAAGTAAGAAAACAATGATTCTGCTTTTTGTATTCTGCGCAATATATTTTGTTTAGATTATAAGCTCCTAATGGCAGGGAATGCCATAACTGCTCTCTAGTATCATAAACTAGTATAATAAGCACTAATATTGCTGTATAAAATCCTGCTTATCATCATATGTTTCAAGGGTTGAATCAAGACTTTTATATCCTGTAGTCCTGAAGATGATACTGTGAATTCCATTACCACAGAGAAGTCTTTTTAAAAGTCAAGGCAACTATACAAACAGGTGCCAACAGCAGGTTCAGCCCAACAGATACAAGTTCAAGCTAATGTGCCCAAGCTTATGTGTCCTGTTGAGATGCACAAGTCTAGAGAAAGCTGACAGATGGAGCTGTTTGGCTCAGGCAAAGCATCACAGCAATGTGAATACATTGCATCTGGACTGACGTTCACTCACATTCTGTGGGTTGTAACTTGGAGCCCTGAAGCCTGGGTTAGCTACCACTGATCTAGAGATCAGCCCTCAATATTACAGCTGTAGACATGTCTAAAATGTGAAGTAGTTATATGTAGTGATATTAAATAGCATAAATCAGACAGAATAACAAAGGCTTGTGGGAACGTAGCACTTCCCAAACATTGCACTTTCCTGTGGTAACTTTGGCTACTGAAACACTATTTCCCACTCAGTAAAAAGCTTTTAGTAGTATCCATGACATTTCTATTTTATTTATTTTAGGAAATACCATAATCAACTGATGGATTTGATTCTTACATGGTCAGGATGTATAACAATCTGGGGCAAAGCTGTGAAAAAGATGAAAGGCTGTCCCTAAATCAGATGGTTTAGATGTACAAGCTTCAACTTATAACTAGTAGTTCTGATTCTCATGCAAAAACTTAAAGGACTGTCCATACTGCAGTCAAAAGTATTACAGGTGCTCTAGGAAACATGCCCAAGCTAGCTTCATTACTATTAGCACTGTACTCACAGTGGGGAAAAGTTTGGAACAAACTGCAAAACCCATCCTGGCTCCTGAATATATGTGTGTGTGTGTGTGTGTGTGTGTCTGTGCGTGTGTCTGTGTGTGGTTACCTGGTGCTGAGCTCTGTATTACCATGGTCACAATGCTGCTGGTACCCAGTTGAGGATAGATTATGTCTTTTATTAGAGGCAGTCAGATGCTTGAAGAGTGAAGATGTACCATTGACTGATAACAGGCAGTAAGAACTGGTTTTGAGATATCAGAAACTCAGTCAATTGCACTCCACAAGAATCAGAATGAGGATGTTTTTTCCAAGATTACTTCTTACAAAAAGAAGTACATTCAGACAGAAAGTAAAATGTGAAGTGTCTGAAACACCTTTTGTGGTTTATATTACTCAAGCCTGAGCTGTAACACAGAGTTTCAGAAGATGAGGCAATTCTAGCTGCTCAGGAGCTGTCATGAAGGAATTTTGTTGTAGGGACACCTTTTTGATAACAGATACTCATACTTGAAAATGTCCATGCACTTTTAGATAGGATTCAGTGAACACAAGTTACACCAAATGTAATGGACAGGTTTAGATGATGTAACTTCAGAATAAATGAAGATACATTAAAGAAGTAATACATTAGTAAAGTAGGCCCTGAATCTCACTTATAGTAAAGGTATTTTGTCTTGCTGTGATTAAATAAAGTAAAATTTCTCCAGTGGAGTAAAAGGTTGTATATGCCAAACAAGTTTCTTGCTTTTCTAATTTTTCAGCCATATTTACCATTTGCTTAGTATAATCTGCAGACTGGTTGGGATTAGAAAATATCTTGTGTCCAAGCAACTCGTAGCACTGCAATAAAGTACATTAAAGAAATGATTCAACATTTGCAATTGTATTTGACTAAAAAACAATGGAGCTTTCAGTATATCTAGAGTTTCCAAACAAAAGTGAATGTTCAGGTTTGTTGCTTCTGTAAGAACAGATTTTTAAAGCACTGTTGTTTTGACATGAATAATGCTAACTTTGATGACATCAAGCTCTTCAGTTTGCCCTCTAGCAGTGACATCATCCATCCCTACAATAATTACAGTAACAACTAGAAGCTCTGCAGCAGGGTTTTCTGGTGCATACGGTAGATGGTAGTGCATATGGAGCACTTTTCAGCTCAGTCAGCAACTACCTCCTCTTACTGAGTTGATTTTGTTCTGGAACTTATTTATTCACAGGCCTGAATATTGCACACATTGGGTTAGCACAGTATAGCCATCTGACTTCCAGAATAACACTGGCCACCCTGGAGCACTTATAGTCATTTGTACCTGTAATGTAATTTGATCCAAATGATAATATTTCTTCTCATTTAAATACATTTTCTTAGATGTGGTAAGATACAGAAAGCAGAATAACATATGCACTGTATTTGGGGAAAAAAAAAAGGAAAATCTATTTAGTTCAAAAATTCTTAAGTTTGGATTAAACTCCAAAAGACAACAGTTACATTTCTAAATTTTTCTCCACAAATAAAAAATGCTAAAACTTCTACTCTACGAAGAGTAATAATGATTTACCATGCTGGAATTTGAAATGGATGAGTAGAGGCTGGCCCATACAAATCCATGATGAGGTGCTGTCAGCAATATTGCTTAGGATTGTATAGCATTTCTTACAAAGATGGGGATAAAAGATGGAAATTTACTTATTAACGGCTAACTTTATTAATTTAGATAATGCTTGTTCATCAGAAGTTGCCAAGTATTAAAACTCAAATAAATAAACATGAGTTGCTATTGAAATAACAACACATCACTTGAACTATTACATTACGTGGTCTCTTCTATGACTAGGCAACTTCACCTCCAAAAGCATTATAGCACTGGCAAGACCTGCAATACCACGTCTAGGAGATCAGGTGCAATTGGAAAGACAGTTAAAAAGACCAAGTCCTGTTGTGCTAATTTCTGTAATTTCTCTTAGTAGAATGACACTACTTCCTCTCCTGAGACTAACAGTACATTTTCAAATTTTTCCATCCGGCAGACCGACTTTCCAGTACCTTTTAAAATATCTGTAGAGAGATGAAAGATACAATTTATCAGTTCAAGTAGATACAGGCAAACCAAAATTGTCCTGGCTCCATCTCTCTATATATTTAGCTGGAGTCATGTCCATGTCAAAAAAGGTAATTTCTCTGCGCTTTGTTTACAGCAGCTAAATCTCTTGCTCTGTTCCTATAGGGAGCCCTTGATTTCAGAGGAGATAGAAATTCTGCCAGCTCATCTACCCTATAAACTGTGGAAAGAAAAGTTGCAAAATGCAGAATGATCATAAAGTTTTATCCTTAGGAAGATGAGAATAAAAATGATATATGAACTGAAAAACCTGTAACTCAAGGCCAAAATAGGTAAGCATATGTCCTGCATTCTCTAAAATACGAGTCATGACAGCATTTGGATAAATAATTACAGGAAGACTAGCAAAATTCTGTAATCCCCACAACTACTGAGCTGTCTGAGGTAATTTCCAGTAATTCTTGGAAGTGGAGCTCCTTCATTCTCTCCACTCCAAGGTATTCTCAAAGTATCTCCTGTCTGCTCTTCAGAAAGCAGCAAGAGCTGAAGCAGATCTGAAGGTAGATTCTTGTTCAGAATCTTTGAACCACAAGCACTCAAGATTAAAATGGACGTGATTAGTAAATTACTGCTTGTTGTACACCAGTTTCTTCACTTGTTTAATTAGAATACATATAGAGAAATACTTTTACAGAATGGGCCACCTCCTCCAGGGCAGTCAAATGAACAATTCAGACATAGCATGTTACACTTGTATATAGATGAGACCATTTGCCACTGGTATAAGCAGCCTTTCATGAGAATCTTGTGTATCCTCTGTAATATTCTGGTGGAAGAGAGCCTTATCAATCCAGTTATGCACAACAGACTCTTCTTTTCTTAGTAAAGGAAGATGTGGATTAAAAAACACTGTAATCTCAAAGACTCTTCAAATAAGCACACGGAAATCTCCTTTTAACAAATGCAGGCCTAACTTTCAATTCACACAGTTCACTTGAATCTTTGGAAAGAAGTTGGCACAGAAGGGTAATATTAAGCCATATCATGTGTAGTTAGCCTATCTCCAGCGTAGTTATTGAGTTGTCTTCTCTTGTATTTGCTCTCACCTCTAAAGTACTGGTAGGATGGAGGTGAAGGACAACAAAGATACTAAACTACAGTGAGTGGTATAAGCTTACTTTTACATATTTTAACCACCGAAGATATTTGGCTGTAGATGTGAACAAAATGAGTCTTTAATCCCCTCAACTCTTCATTTTAATCACCATACTCAACTTCAGTGTTCAAAGTAAATTCTAAGAAAACCGGAAATGCTATAGGAATGGTCATAGAATAGTATGGTTTGGGGAGGTTTCTAATAATAAAATCTAACAATTTTGAAAATGAGCTCTTCTGTCAAGAAATGGTTGAGATGGTCCTAAAGCTGTTCTTTCTCTTCTTCTTGGAGATGCTTTTGTCTCCCACCATGTGCTTACATGTTCATTGAGCCCTAGTAAATGTTACTGTGACAGGACCGCTCATGATTTTCCCTAAGTCTGAATGAGTGTATATGAGGGAGGAAGGAGGGGAACTGTGCATAGCTGGGCAATATCCCATTCTCAAAGCAATTCTCAAAGCAGTCTTTCATTTATATGCTAAGCAGTTGATGTAAAACTGACAGCAAGTTAACACGGCAAACGGAAAAGACACTCTGAGATCCAGTCTTTTGACAAAGCCTTTATTTTTCTTTTTTTTTCTTGAGAAAGGACAATCTATATGTTTCATCGTGTGTAATTTGTAAAGTAATTCCATCACATTTTAAGGAAGATAGAAGCAAGAGAAAGCATCTTGAAGACTGATGGCATAATGTTAGTCTAACCAAAGCATGCAGTAGAAATGTTAAATAGCCTGAGTAGGAAAGAAAAACCAAAAGAACTATGCTTCTGCATACTCATGTGATGTCCCACTAACCACTAGCAGAGCCTAAAGGATCAGTCTCAAAAGTTATCTTAAATACAGAAGCAGTTAAAATAAGCATAATCTTAATAAAAATGTAAATTCCATAATATTTGGTTATTTGGTACTTTTATGACACTTTTCCTATCATGAAAATCTATGTTTATAGATTCTTTTGCTTTTAAATCTTCTCTGGTGACAAAACCAGGTTTAGATAATCTGGTGAATGCTAAGCATATCATTCCATAAATCAAATCCAATATTTTTGCATAGTGGATGGGCAGCTCCACCAAGTGTTTACAAACCATTGTGTTGTGTGTTTTTTTGATACAAGAACCTAGTCCTAGGCGAGAAGGAAATGTCTTGGCACACACTAGATAGAGTATTTGGCAGCAA